AGAGAGAGAGAGAGAGAGAGAGAGAGAGAGAGATGATTGAGAGCTTTACAGATAGATGACAGAGATGTTCATCATTATAAGTCATATATTGATGAACATTGGAATTATTCACTATCTTTTTTCAGAACAGCCAAGGATTATTGTTGACAAGTGCAATGTCACTCAACTTAGCAAACTGGAGCTCAGCTGCCTCTAACTGTGCCTCCTACTTTTCTGAGTTGGTCATCTGGGGCAATGTGGCCGTGAACCTGGGAGATGTTAAAGGAAGCTGTCCACATTAACCTCCATTAATGATTGACAGAAGGTAGGCATGGAAGGGACCCTAATTTATCTTTTTTGGAGCCTTCACAAGCTCAGAGTCCATCCTACCTTCAACCAAGCAGGTTCTTATGAACGTCTGTTGGGCCGCTCAAATGGAAAAGAGCATACAATAAGCTAACTGTACATAATATTATTTTTTAAATAAGTTGGTCTTTGCGTAACGCCAACCTCAATAATATTTTCTTGCAAAAACTATATGCAAAAATGCCATTCCTAACTCCCTAATTCTCTCTAGGTGCATTTCCCACTGGGCCAAGCTATTGCTAATCAGTGCTCACTGAGGACCTTGACATGCCATCAGTCAAGCACTGATTAGTTGATATTTCTCTGTGTTCATCTCTTGGCCTGGAAAGGCAAGATCTCATGGGCTGAAAACTCACAACCATGTCAAAATGCCCATTGCCAGAACATCTTGACACTTTAATAGAATACAAACAGTTCCGCTGGGTCCCAATTGGGAAACAGAAAGACTGGTTAAGTGGAAGTAGCCTCCGTTTCCAGCCCTCTGATCATCCTTGTGGCCCTTGGCTAAGCCACTAAGTCTTCCTGAAATATGGGCCCCAGAACTGGACACTATGCTAATGGTAAGTCAGAAAGAGGGTGTCTCTGAAAATAAGGTGCTGGGGACATACCATTATGACTAGGAAAAAGAGGAAATTATAAACAGCTCCACGGGTACAGATCTCAGAATGGAAGAAGAGGATTATTTCTGAAATAGCTGTCTGTGCATTGCTGAACATGGGAGGCTGAAGTGAGGTGGAGGAGTGAACCAGTCCCTGTCGTTTTCTTGGTGGCATTTTCAGAAGTGGCTTGCCCTGGACTTCTTCTTCCCAAGGCTGAGACAGAAGGACTGGCCCAAAGTCACCCAGTTGGCTTCTGCCTAACTAAGATCTCACAGTCTCCCTTTTTCTAGTCCAGCATCTTAACCATTACCCTAAACTGCTCTCAACCCACTCTCTATACCCATTGCCCGTGTTTGAAGAAAAGCATCTGATACCATCAGTTGAGATTTTTTTTGAATCGATGGCTTTGGACAGATTATCTTGGTCTCTCTCGCTCTCTCTGACTCCATCTGGATCCTGTTGGCTGGGGAATTCTGGGAGTGGAAGTCCACACATCTTAGTGTTGCCGAGTTTGAGAAATACTGATTTAATCATTTGGGTTGCCCGAAGAGGGGAGAACTGGGAAATTTGGGAATTGCCACTCCAGCTAATTAGGAGACGTGGAAAATTTACCACAGCAGTAAATAAAACCTCTTGGTCTGTTGGCAGAGTTGCCATGCAGGAAGACAGAATCTGCAACCAGCACAGCACGAAACCAACAGTGACCAAGATAAAATTGTATTATGGTAGGGAATTGGGTACAAGCATCAGTTAAAAAAGTATTCATGGGCAAAAAGATTCTGAGGAATGAAACATCACTCTTTTATCTTTGGTTAATGGGCTTAGTTTAAACCAGTGTTTCTCAACCTTGGCAACAAAGCTGGCTGGGGAATTTTGGGAATTGAAGTCCACACATCTTAACGTTGCCAAGATTGAGAAACACTGGCTTAAACTGTTGGGATGAACTGATTTTTACACCAAACATGTCCCAGATTGATCATCTCTCCTGTGCTCAAATGTCCCTATTTTCCTGTTCTGGATATGGGCCATTTTCTCTCATGTAGAAATTCAGGGGCAATGGAATTTCGCTCAAGGACACAGAGACAAGCCCTGCTCATGTTAGACCATGTTTATTGTCCCCGGAAGTGGATAATGGTTACAGTGAGCTGCATGGCTCGATCAGCAGACCCATGCCAAGGGTTTTTCCCCAGCCTACCCCCTTGCCACTATACCATGACCTTCACCCACTCTCTCAGGGAGCTACCGGTATCAGTGGGAAATTTCAGGAGACCACCTTCTTCAGCAGGCCCTTTGTAGGTTGAATGACAGAGGGGCTTTGCTGGTTGAGGAACTCTTCTCCCATCTGGGTCAAAGGCTTCGCTGCTTCCTGTATTTGGTCCTTCAGATCCCCAGCAATCTGTTCCACTTGGGTATATAACTCATGCACCTTATTATTCACTTTCTCGGCCACCTCTTGGAGCTGCTGCTTAACGAAGCTCAGCTGCTCCGTGGCCCAGGAGCCCCCGAGGTTCTGCAACTGACTGACCCCTTCTTGCAGCTTCTGCTTTGCAGTCTTGGCAAACTGTTGGAGCTTCCGGTTCTGCAGCCAGGTATTTTTGTTTGAGAACTTCTTCGGCACTTCCGCCGCCAAGTCCCAAGCCCTCTGCAAACCCTCAGAAGTAAACAGGTCTCTGTGGAAGAGAAGGAAGGGATAAACAGAGAAGAAAGGGCAAGAACTCAGCCTCAGGTCCTTCCAAAACGGCTCCTTACAGCAGAACCAGCATCTCCCAAATAGGTTAGAGAATAACTGAATTTCCCACCTTGGCTGACCTTCAAGGATGAAGCAGCGTTGGATCTGATTTGTAGGAGGATGGAAGTACACCAGGAAATGCCAGGGTTGTATGCTAGACTGGGAAGTCAATAGAACTCCCTGGAAGAAGTCTACAGTCAATGGGGTCTGGGAATTGTACTCTTACCCTTCCAAAGGGTACATGAGAGCCACACTGGGGCTTAATCAATTCTTCTTTACATTGCCATGGTTGACGTAGGAGGCTTAAACAGTATCATGTAGCCATTGGCTACAACTCAGCTATCTTGAAGTAAGCACAATCCATGGAGAATAAGGCTACTGGAGGCAGTCGGCCAAGAGATGGTTGTATGCTATCTGCTAATTATGTTCTCCTTCCCCATTCTCCTTCCCTAACCCTAACCCTGCCTGTAGGTTTTCAGAAGGACCTGGCCTTCTGCTGTGCCAAATAATGGGCTGGGTTAGATAGGCCTTTGGACCGATCTAGAAATGTGCTGAGCTCCTACATCATATAATTTATGAGTTGCTTCACTAGATGGTTTCCCCAACCCACTTAAGTTAGCAACTGAATTAGCCCATTTTCTGGGTTCCTGATCCATAAATTAACCAGATGGGTTGCCTTCATACAACATGTTAAACTGCAAAAACAAACAAGCCCCATGATAATCAAGGATTAAAGTAAACTAAGGTTTGCATACTATGTGAATGTAGCCACGATATGTATGTACGCATTTAAAGGATATACACGGCTACTGATCTGATGTACAATAATCCTGGGCAGCTAGGATTTTGACCATTAGAGCCTTTTGGACAATATTTATTTTATTTACTTAGCTTATCACATTGCTGGCTTCTATCTCAAGTTTCACATTGATTGATTGATATGATTTATATAGCTGCCCATCTCACATAAGTGACTTATGTGCCAAGGTGGTGTCCAAGAGTCCCAAACATTTTGAAAATGAGTTTGATGATCATGAGACAGGAGAGGGGAGAGAAACAACAACCCCCTCCCATTTGGATGTCTAGGAATTAGATTGTTATCAAGGTTATCATGGCTTTCAGGTGGTCACAGTGATGCCAAGTTCACTCCGGGTCAGAACAACCTGTGACTTCAAAAGGAGAACAGATATGAGGAAAGATCTTGCACCATGTCTGGTGAGTTTTGTTCACTCACTTGATCTTGTCCAGGCCCACATTTATATATTCTCCAAGTATTGTGGGAACGTTTTCAATCTGGTCTTGGGCCTGCTCCAGGATTGATTTGGGAGGCTCATCAATGAGAACCGCTGCCTGAAAACCTAGGAAGGAAAAGGAAGCATGGATGAGGCCAAAAATGTGGTCCATGCTACTGTTCAGGGCTCTGTCTATCCCTTGAATGGAAACTGACGATGGCTTGTATTACTTCTGGAAGGTTTTAATCATTAACTGCATAAAGCTAAGATTCCTTTTCAACAAACTTGCCTTCTTCCATCGCAGTTGTGGCTCCAGATAAGTAATTTGTTTATCCAA